TAATATTTTTATAAATTTGTAGTGGGTAAAAGCCTTTTAAACAAAGTAGAAAACCAAGAAGCCATAAAGAAAAAAGACATTTCTTGGACCAATATTGTTAGGAGAATTACAAATCTGTAATTTCTAGTAGTCCCATGAGAAAGAGAGTAGGAATATTATTATGCTAACAAGACAATAAAAAAATAATTACTATTTTCCTACATGAGGTTTATAAAGAAGAGTTTTCAGAAAATAATAGGGAAAAAGTTAATGAATCAGACAATAAACCAAGGATAGGACACAATGCAGGACAGTAAAAAAATGCAAAGCAGCTCAGTCATTCATTGGCAGAGAAAAATTCATTTCCCAATAGAATACTCACTAGTATTCTCAGGATGAACTTTTGATCTAAACCAAGAGCATTTAAAAACATGTGACTACCTGTTGTGTTATTTGCCATATCATACATGTAGTATCTCTGGAACCAGAAATCAAATGCATTCCACAGTAATCTGTAGCTAAGCAAGTCACAATATCTGTAGGAAAAAGGAATGAAATAAAATGAAATGGGTTGGTTTTGCTAGAGAAAAGAACATTAAGGGCAACTTTTGTTAATATTCAAACTATTAGTAAATCAGCTATTCCAAAAGAAGGAATTCAGGGCTGGCACAGGAAAAGTATTGGGAAAGAGTGACACAGGAAAGAAATGGTATCAAAATCATCTAGGAGAGCTTTCTTTGGAGACCACCCTTCTTTGAGCTTGAGGACTAGATGTGCAGTGTCAGGAATGTCTATTAGCATCTTGGGAAGAGGTCAGATAGCTTGAGATGGATCTCCTGTTAATTCTTGATTTTTTTGGACAGGGCCTCGCTCTGTCACCCAGGCTGGAATGCAGTGGTGTGACGACAGCTCACTGCAGCCTCCAATTCCTGGGCTCAAGTGATCCTCCTCCCTTAGCTTCCTGAGTAGCTAGGACTATAGACATGTGCCACCATGTCTGGCTAATTTTTCCAGTTAATTTTGATATGCTTCTCTGCTCTGTCATCCCCATTCACCTCCTACTCCCATTGGGAATTACAGTCTGACAGCATATGTGTCCTTAAGAAAAACAGTACATATTATTATTATATCATAAATTCACAACAGAAAATATTTCCTGAACTGTAAACACCTGAGCTAAGTGACATCTCAGGAGTCACTGGTATAGAATTAGCAGCAGGCTCCATTTCTCTTTCCTAATAGGTTTATTAGAAAAACATCAGCTGGGCACGGTGGCTCATGCTTGTAATTTTAGCACTCTGGGAGGCCGAGGTAGGAGGATCACTTGAGCTCAGGAGTTCGAGACCAGCCTGAGCAAGAATGAGACCCCATCTCTACTAAAAACAGAAAAAATTAGCTGGCCGTGGTGATGCTCGCCTGCAGTCCTACCTACTTGGGAGGCTGAGGCAGGAGGATTGCCTGAGCCCAGGAGTTTGAGGTTGCTGTGAGCTAGGCTGACACCACAGCACTCTAGCCCAGAAAACAGAATGAGACTGTGTCTCAAAAAAAAAAAAAAATCTACTCAGTGTTTTATCCATATATTGAAGATTCAGACAGTAAGAAGTATCAGGTTAAACTACATTCAATGATTTTACCAATCTTATTTTTTACTGTTAACATAGTAACAGAGCAGTTAATGACAACAGATTTTATTACCATTTTGTCTTAAAATTATTTCTATCAGCCAATTTTTAAAAAAGACTTAGTCTAACAAATACATGAGATACTCTTACAGAAAGCATACAATATTTATAATACTGCACTACCAAAAAGTTCCACTCAGCTTCAAAGGTAAAATTAAATGCTCTTTACGAGGAGCATGTATTACTTTTATAGTTTAAAATAAAACAGAAAACTCTCAGCTTTTTTGGGAAAAAAGTTAATGCTTACCCATATGTCTGATATTGTGTGAGATAATTTTGCCTTTTGTAAGTGACATTACTTGAATGCTATTATCCCAATGTCCAGCACTGAAGAGCAACTTTGCATCGTGTGATACTACAAATAGCTTAGAGGTAACTTCCAGCCCTGGAGCAAAAGGACCATTCATACTACGCTGAGTTCTGTAAACATAATTAAATATTAGATTTTTCCTTAAAAGATCACTTAGACTGTTATCAACTATTTGTTTAATATTTCTAAGAAAGAAATAAAAAAATAAGCCTCAAATGTCCTATTTGAAATATCTATTAAAAATGCTAAAGACTTTCAGAAAATACATTAATCTTATTTTATTCATATTTTTCATAAAATAAAATACATATAACATAGCATCAAAGGGTTAAGCATGAAGACATTGAGATTGGTAAAGGTGTGAAAAAGATTTAAATCTTGGCTCTCAAGGCCTATCTAATAAAATTGGCAATTCTGTAAGTGGCAGCCTTAAAGTATAAAGAAGGATAGGATATGCCAGGACTGGGAAAAATAGAAATAAACTAAAACCAGGGATTCTTCTACACAGGGTGATGCATAGGAGACAAATCAGGCAGATCAATGCATATCTAACAACACTTAACAATAATTGTTTTCTATTCCAACCAAAGCAAGGATATGGGTTTTATCAGCTTCCAAGTGAAGTAACTGTGAGCTTAGCCAATCTAGATTCTGTAGGTGGACACAAGTGATCTGCCTACAATGTGTGTACAGAAAATGAGGGCTAAGGCCGGGCGTGGCGGCTCACGCCTGTAATCCTAGCACTCTGGGGGGCCGAGGGAGGCGGATCGTTTGAGTTCAGGAGTTCTAGACCAGCCTGAGCAAGAGCGAGAAATAAATTAGCTGGACAACTAAAAATATATATATAAAAAAAATTAGCCAGGCATGGTGGCGCATGCCTATAGTCCCAGCTACTTGGGAGGCTGAGGCAGAAGGATTGTTTAAGCCCAGGAGTTTGAGGTTGCTGTGAGCTAGGCTGACACCATGGCACTCTAGCCTGGGCAACAGAGCGAGACTGCCTCCAAAAAAAAGAAAAAAAAAAGAAAAAGAAAAAAGAAAATGAGGGCTAAATCTGACACTTCAGCTCTAAAACTTTATTATTCAATATGAATTCACTGAGAATATGATTCATGCAAAACACAACAGCACTAAGTCCTATATGGGATAAGAAGGAAAAAAAGACACTGCCCTTAATCTCATGGAGTTTTATTCTAGTTGAAGAAGACTAGAAAATACAATGATAACAATTATTTTAAATAGTTTTCAAATATATGATGTAATCTGATCCTGAAAACAACACTGAATGTGATTTAACTAGGAAAAAATATAAGCAAACATACTAAGACAACTCAGAGTAAGTTACCTAAAGTTAGAATGTAACTTTTGGAGATTCAAAAAAAAAATGTAGACACTAAATTCTTATTTATTTATTTTTATTTTTAAATTTTTTATAGGCAGGGTCTTGCTCTGTCGCCCAGGTTGCAGTGCACTGGCACAATCATAGCTCATTGCAGCCCTGAACTCCTGGGTTCAAGTGATCCACCTCCTTGAGTAGTAGGGACTACAGGCGCCAGCCACTGTGTGCCCAGCTAATATAAAGTCAGGACATAACTTAAAAAGTAAAGATGGGAGGCCTAGGCAACAGAGCAAGACTCTTGTCTCTAAAATAAAAAAAAAGAAAGAAAAAAAAGTGGGGAGAAGGGGAGGGAAAGAAGGAAGGAAGAAGAGAAAAATCTGGTTTTCAAAATATACTTTCAAATGACATAAATCAGTTATTCTAGCTGTTTTTTGTGGCAATAAGGTACTTGTTGTAGCTATTTTGCTTTAAATATTCATTTACTTACTTTGGATTTGTCACAGTTTGATCCTTGATGAATGTAAAGTAATTAGAAATGTTTCTGTCATAAGGGAGCCATCCATGAGTTCCAATAACATAATTCATGCTTACTGTTATCTAGAAAAGAACGTATGAAGACTCACACTAAATGAAAGATTAAAGAAAGCAGCATAGAATAACCAGATGCTTACATGATATTAGCATTTATCACTTAGGGAATACTTTGGGACTGTATACTTAAAACATGAAGCTCATTAAGAAAGTCTTTAAATAATTCAAATAGAAAAAACTATCTTATTGTTAAGAAAAGTTGTCAAATATATCTTTCTTTAGTAAGGTTATTTTTTCTTACAATTTCTCAATTGTAAGAAACTGTACCTATTAGCTGGCAGTCAGAGGAAACTCAGGGTCAAGTCTTACCATAAAAATATAATAATAATATATATCACTTAGAACATAAATCAGAAGTAGAACTTACGTATTAAGGTCTCCCTGTAGTGATAGTCATAGTGAATAAATTCTTTTCAAAATGAAAACTTTTTACCCTTTTGATTATAAAAGTAATAGGTTACTCCCCTCCCACCAAATACAGATAACTTAAAAACATGCAGGTATTAAAACTGAAAATCACAAGAATTCCACCACTCAAAAAATGCTATTATTTTTATCTATCTTTCTGGACTTTTTTTCTAAGTAAACATAATATGCATAATTATAAAAATAGGGCTAATTCTAGAATCTCTACTGTTCACTGTGTTAGATTTCATTTTTATCATTTCTAAATGACAAAATTAGAATAAGACAGACCTAGGTCTGGTGTACGAGCCAAGGTCTCGGATCCCTTACTTGCTAGCTCTGTGACTTTGGGCAAGTTACTTTTCTGAGTTTTAATTTCTTATCTGTAAAAGGGAAATAATAATAGTGCCTATCTCACAGGACTATTAAGTGGATTAAATAAAAATTCATGTAAAATACTCACTAAAGTACCCTATATGTATTCCTTAATAAATTCTCTATTATTTCTCATTATCATTATTATGGCTTTATAATAAATTTTAATGTAAGATGTTAGCCCTTATTTTTCTTATATAAAATTTCCTGGTTCTTTTCACATATTTATTCTTCCAGATAAACCTTAGAATTACAGTAACTACTTAAAATAATGATATGAAGATATGTTTTTGTACTTGGTCAAATCAATTCGACAAAATGTTTCTCTGTTATTTTAAAAAATGGCTTAAAAAAATGTTATTTTCTATTTTTTTTTTTTGTAAGTTGTAATGGATATAGACATGGCAGTGTGAAAAAGGTAAAAATCAACTTACCAGTAACTCAGGGCTGCCTTGAGACATAAAAGAACGAGACTGATTTTTGGGGACAATGGCCTTTAGTAGTGGAATACCATCACTGATTCCCTATAAAATAAAACAGGTTTAGTGGCTGGTTCCACTCATCTTTATTAGGTACAAATTATTGAAAACTTCTATTTCTTTAAAAAAGGATGAACCCTTTCATATAGCATTTTACCCTTTCACATAGCATGTAATCATTTAATTTAAAATGCAGGAAAGGAATTATATACCACGTTTGGATGGCATACTTGAAACTTCTGAAACCCATCACCTTCTTCTATCCTATTACTCTGCTGTTAAACAAGAAATGTAGATTTCAAGAAGCAGCAATCATTTAAAACAGCCAGTGATCTAGGATCTTTCCTTTTCTCTTGCTATACTGACATGAATACAAAGTAGAAAATATAGATCATATAAGAATAACATCTGCCATTATCTTATTACGATGTGAAAGAACAATAATTTGAACTCAGTTCCTTGATGTGACAATAGTTCAGAAATGATTCCTAACATTTATTAGGTAAAGTATAACATTATTGGGTACATATTATACATCAGGTATTGTTCTAAGAGTTTTATAGGACTAAGTAACAAATTATAAAATTCATTATAATTTATAAATTATAAAAAGTTAGTGTTTATATTTTCTCTTCACACTGTGAATTAAGAGAAGAATGTCTTGCATTTGAAAAAGGCAAAATGAAAATGGTATCTGAAAAAATCCACTTATTAAGTCCCTGCTTTCACTACTACCTCTATTTTCTTCACCATTTGAACACATAGGAAGAGAAGACCTATACAGGGCCTTCGCTTTTCATATGAATGTATGGGGAAACATCTCTTATGATATAAAAAGGGATCGACAAATTATTGGTAACCAAGGCTATCTCTCATGTTCTTTATCCGGCTCCAGATACTGGTCCTGGGGAAAGCTACTGTGGGACATGGTGGGTAGAGAGGGGCAGATGTGTCACTGCACCTGCAGATGGAACTTAGAAAGTTATTACTAAAAAAAAAATGTCACAAATGATTACACACAATAAAAATAGTTCTATCAGCATAATATAATAAATATAGTATTGCATGTTCATCAGATTATGGGTCAAATAGAGTCTTATAGGTTGCCTACATGCAGTAAAGAGTTAACAGAGCAGGCCTGAGACTGCTGTCTTTTAAAGAGGCCTGCTTCCAAGGTTAGCCTTTGGCTGGCACCAAGACTTGGCTAACAAGCAGTTCCTTACACTGACATAAAACTTTCCCTTAATAAGGATGGCTCACTGCACCTAGACTGTTTGTGCAGACGATATGGTTTATGCTGAATGCTTGCTTTATATCTGGAATTTGGGTACACGTTAGAGAGAGAGGTGCACACCAGCTTCCAATAAACCTTGTGTGCTGAGTCTCTAATGAGCTTCCCCAGCAGACAAAAATGTGTTTTCACATTTCATTACTAAAAAAATTAAGCATGTCCTGTATGACTCTACTGGGAGAGGACTCTTGGATATTTGTACCTGGCTTTCCCTGAACTTTGCCCCCATGTGCCTTTTCCTTTTGCTGATATTGCTTTGTATCCTTTCAATGCAATAAATCCTAGCTATGAGTACAACTATATGTTGATTTCTAGCAAATTGCTGAACCTGGGGTGGTCTTGGCGACCCTCAATACAACATGGGAATGAGTCATGATTTCGGAGCATTGTTTCTATGTGTTCTGAGTTCTAGGCAATTGATTGAGATACTTTTGGAAAACAACCAATCTTTTAGTTTGTACTGTCAACTTAAATAACTATCTCAATCAATATGAATCTAGGAAAAGAGTGACAGATTACTTCAGAAGTGCTTTCACAAACATGTAAAAACCATAAATCAGTTATTCTAGCTGTTTTTTGTGGCAATA